AGCAATTTATAGCAGCTGTGGTTGCCTGCACAAGACCAAGCCAGTCCGATAAGGAAGGAGCTCACAAACCCATAGATGAGGAGCTATGGGCAGTAGTTGGCTACTGAGAGAAGAAAAGTCCACTCTCTATTCTCTTCTAGGATTGTGGCCACTGATTGGTTGACAACACTCCAGTGGATAGCTCTATAAGCATGTACATGTGTGCAGCATTGACTGAAAAAAAGAGGACAAGAAGTTGCCAAAAGTTGCCAGAGAGATGAGGTGGACAGTCTTAAAGGAATTGGGACAGGGAAATGTATGGATATGATCAAAATGTATCTTATATATGTATTATGAAATTCTCAAGAATAAAGACCAACACATGTCTGAAATACTAAAAGCAAAGACATTTCAACAGCTACAATACATTATGGACACGAATACAGTCTTCTTAGTGATTAATGTGGCTATATTATGTTATAGACATGAGTACAGTCCTCTTAGTGATGAGGGAACCCTATTTCCATTTCTGCAAAATCTTCTCAATTTGCAGGATCATGGCTCCATCTGTGCAGTTGCTGGCTTGTTGTTGCATACTGCCCCAGTGTTGAAAAACAAGCCATCCGCCAGTTTAAATATTATTGACTCATTGACTGAATTCTTTTACTAGGAGTGCATGTTGTGATGAAAGACCGGCCTTTTGTTGTTCTTAGAGGACTTATGTGCAACTCTCCCAAGCACCTTTTCATTTTGTTCTTCAGAACACATTTATGATCAGTCTTTGCAGCTTGCTATCACAGCTACAAAAGGTTACAGGAGAGAGTTGCGTAGGAAGCATACACTCATTTAATTTTATTCTTTCTTTTTTTCATTTTTTGAAAAGCAGGGTATTACTGTGTTGCTCTGGCTGACCTAGAACTCACTATATAGACCAGATTGGCCCTGAACACATAGAGATCCAATGCCTGTACAGCCCAAATGCAGGGATAAAATGGATTAAAGGACATGTGCCATCGTGCACAACCTATAGTTATTAACTTTATAGAGCTTAGAAATTGATAACAAAATTTCAATGTCCTGTGGGTTTGAACAAGATTGGCCCCCATAGGCTTATACATTTGATTGCTTAGTCAGGAGGAAGCACTATCTGAAAAGGATTAAGAGGCGTGGCCTTGGTAGAAGAAATGTGCTACTGGGGATGGGCTTTGAGGTTTCAAAAGCTCATGTCAAGCCCAGAGTCTCTCTCCAGGCTTACACATCAGGATGCATCCCTCAACAACTTCTTCAGCAACATGCCTGCCTACTGGCAAGCCCCCTGCCAAGATGATAATGGGTCAAACCTCTGAAACTGTAAGCAAGCCTTCAAATAAATGCTTTCTTTATGAGAGATGCCTTGGTCTTCCAAGTGACTAAGGCAGAGCTATATCCCTTTCTTTCCCAAACAAGCAAGTTTCAACTCCCCAGGTTTAGAAATTCATTAGTTCCTGTATATATTTCATGAATGCCACTTGCCTGGACCATTACTAAAATAAATGCAACCATCAGTGTGGATGTTGAATAGACCAATGGCCCAATGGTGTATTTTTAGAGGAAAAAGAATACATACAAGTGTCTTTGTGCTGTCACTCACACTAAAGGTTAAATTGTAGTGAATAATAACAATAAAACAGGTAACATTTAATTACTCATTACACATCAGAAAATATTCTAAATACTTAATCAGCACTAACTACCTTTAAAACAATTCCTTTATGGGGTATGGTGGCTGATACAAGGCTGATTCTAGATAGCCCAAACTAGCTTAGAACTTGAAATCCTCTTGCCTCAGCCTCCCAAGTTCTGGATTACAGGCATGCACCACCACATCTGCCTTCTTCAGGTAGTATGTACTATTATTATTAACCACATCTTATAGAACAGAAAAGTGCCCCAAGCTGCCTGGGGAGAACAAACTTGCTCCAGTAAGATATTTGGCATCATTCAACTGTACTAAAAGACAACTAGAAGGAGTGGGAATTGGTGTCCTCAGAGCAATTCAGGACTGATACTTCACACAGCCTAGGGGACACAGATCTAAAGGAAGCTATAATCCTGCTGCTTGCAATTGCACTGCATATGTGAAGTTGGCTCAGCCCTCAATGCCATCTTTTCATACAAGATCCCGTTGTCAGGGGAAACTTCATGGGAAACACTCTTAGCCCCATTCTTCCTTCCTTTCCCTCTCTGTGGAAGTTTCCATTAGCAATGGGTGAATGGAGCCAACACCAGATCTATCTTTTTGTATGTGATAGGTATGCTGACAAATTCCTAACCCAGCTTCACAAACACCTCAAACCACAAAACAGCTGAATGGTAATTATTTTCTTTTGGAAAACCTTGATGAATATTTACTTAGACTTGTGTAACAAGTCACCGTACAGACTTTTGTGTAAATACACATATATGTGTATGTATATGCACATAAATAAATAAAAAGTTCAGAATCCCATTATCAATGTTTGTGAATTTCTTTTCTGTTGGTTCATCTTTTCTTCCTTCCTTTCTCTCTTCCCCTCTCCCTCCCTCCCTCTCTCCCTCCCTCCCTCCCTTCCTTTCTTCTCTCCAGTACTGAGGATTGAACCCAAGGCCATGCATATACCAGGCAAGAATTTGACCTACTGAGCTATGTCCCCGGCCTCTGAATCTAATATTTTCACTGTACAGACTTCCCTCAATTCCAGAATGATGACCTCCATCACAGGTTTTAGACATTCTCTCTCCAAGAAGATCACCACATAGCTGCATTTCTCTGGTGAGGGGCAAGTGTAATTATTTTAATATCTACCACAATACAAGCTGGTTTGGAGCTTTGATCTTGAAGTGGATTCTCATTCTGTACTCCAAGCCATCATGGCACAATATAACCCAGGATGGCATTGAACTTGTGGCAACCCTTCTGCCTCAACCTCTTGAGTTCTGGGATTACAGGCTGCAATGGCTATTCTTGGTTGACAACTTGACTGTATCTAGAATTAACTAAAATCCAAGTGGCTGGGCACACCTGTGAGGGATTTTTCCTAATTAAATCATTTGATGTAGGAAGGCCCACATTTATCTATCATATCTTTTGAGGTGGGAAGATCCAGCTTTAATCTGGGCCATACCTTCTGGTGGCAGCCTCTGTAAAGGACATGGGAGAAGGAAGATCTTGCCTTTTGCCTGTTTGTCTCTGATCTCACTGACAAGTTCATTCCCTCACAGGCATCTAAGCCAACTTCTTAGGGGTTTCAGTGTTTGGTGAAGCCCAGCTGAGACATCAGGCTCATGGACTGAATAATCACTGGATTCACAGACTTTCCACTGGTAGACAGCCATTGTTGCACTAGCTGGGCCATTATAATAAAGCCCTTATTTATTTATACATAATAAACATATATACATGCATATATACATATGCATGTATATATATGTATGTATGTAGTCATTTCTGTTTATCTAGAGAACCCTAAGTAATGCACAGGCATACACCACCATGTCCCACACAAGTCACATTTTAACGTGGGTATTTTTTTGTATACTACCACCTCAAGCCTGTTAAAACTCTGCACTAGGCATGTCCATCTGAATATTGAAACCTTAATCTCACATTTCTCTGCCATGCTCTTAAGTATGGACTTGACATTAACATCTATTTATTATTCTTAAACTAGACAAGAAGAGTTGTGGGTGTGAACCCTAGATACCCAGTGTTCCCATCAGCATCATGACTAATAACCTGTGAGACACTCCTCTCTCCCTTCACCACCCAGATGGAAATTGGTGTCCCATTGTCTCTGTCCCCTCAACCTCTGGAGAGAGGGGGTGGGTTATAACTCCAGCATATCTGGGAGTAATATCACACAGCCTCTCACAAGCTCAAAGAAAAACCCTTTAATTTTATAACATATTCACTTTGTATTGGATCTAAAGTGTAATCACATTTACTTTACCATAAATATGAAAAGGCTTAGCCTCAGAATCTGGAAGTGAAATTGGATAGTCTACATTTATGCCCTGGGCTTATCTCACCCCAGGAATCTGCTGGACTCAATCCACTAGTTTTACTTTAGGAAACACCATCCTATAGCCACTTATACATTATTGCATCCATAATACTCATCATTAAATTTTATAATGCAAACACCTACCCCTCACTCTATTCTAGCAAATACAGATTAACTTGCTCAGAGTAAGTCCTTTTCCATAAGACTTGTTTCCTATAAGGCAATGCTAAACTGTTTTAAAATATTTTAATGAGTTTGAATACATTTTTAGTAAAAAATTGATAATTACTTAAGTTTGGATTGAGTTATTAAATTATTAAGATATGCAGTCACACTCCTCACTCAAATGTTGTGGTACTCTCTCCTGACTTCATGATATAAATCTGCTACTAGTATATTACTTAGTATTATGTATGTATGTTTGTTCATATAGCTGCTTGCCTTCCTTTCTTCTTAGCATCTCTCCCTTACTAATATTGCATAGCCAGGTTAACCCAAAAGGTCTCACTTATGCATTAGAGGCATCCAATCTTAACTTCATTTTTTTTCTTAACTTCATGATTCAACTTATAAAAACTGAATTGGCATTTTTCCTTCTATAATTTAAGATAATCTACTTACACATCATTTAAAAGAAGAGATTTTCATAGTAATCAGGAAACAATAAAATGTGAAACAGAATCCAGAGGATTGGGTTCCTCTGCTCTTTAGACTCACCCTGTACATGCCTGTGCCTCCCCTAATGAGCTCATAAAACTAAGAATAATGTACACATCACTTCCTTGTTTGAGGTGATCACAAAGTACTAAGCTGGCTATATTCCCACCCCAGCACTCCTGATGTCATCCCCTCATTTAACAACATGCTGCAGATCTATCAGATGTCAAATTCAGTACTGTGATTCCTCAGAGAACACCAGGTAAGGTCCTTTGGAAGGAGCATTAACTCATCCCTTCCTGCATAGAGGGTAAGTGCAAGCAGGACATGAGGTTTCCTCACCTGGGTCTGGCGGCAGGCAAGCGCAGGAGAAAAGAGTGTTGTACCCCACTTTGAAGTTGGAGTTGATAGGATAGTAGTCCGCTAGTTTGATCATCTTCTTGAAAGCATCATAAATGAAGATGAAGCTGATCAGAGAGGAGAAACCTTCTTCCGTGAAACGAGTAAAGTACTGGACCAGGAAGCTGGCATCAGTGGCCACCAGAATGAGACACATGAAGGCCGACCACAAGCCGATCCAAAGACGAAACTCCAAGTAGTCAAAATTATGGTCCCTGGAAAGAAAAACAAAAGCATAACGGATATTTTGGCTATCCCATAAGGAAACAAGAAGAATCTAAAAACCACTGAAATGCCTACAGAATGGTTTCTAAAAATTACTTTCAGACACTGAATATAGAGCTCAATTTTATCCAGGAAATATTAAGCTTCAAGGTTTGGTTTCATGATATTATTATGCTATCTTTAGGAATTACTCTAAAAGTTTGGGAGGACAGGCACTTAGAAAGTACATTTAATGTTATTGTGTATAACACTAATTTTCTTTCAAAAAATAACTTCTGAGGTGGATGCTTCCTCCCTGTTAGCTGGCTTTCATAGAACCAAATGAAGGCTGCTGGGAAAGAAACAGTAGCCATGCTCTTACCCAGCTGTGAACTCCATGAACTACAATACCAATCTGAGGAACAATTTATATACACAGTTGTGTATCAGTGGCCTGACTGTCCTAGATGAAACCAATTACTTTGATTGGATTAGAGGTCCCCTGTACCAGAGAAAGCCCATGCCTAGTATTGGAAATCTGCTAGAAACCCATAGCTGGGGAGGTCACAGACCCTAGACAGGAACTTAATATTGTTATTTAGTTAACTAGGTACATTGTAAAAATGCCTATTAAACATTTATGCTTCTAGACAAATGCTATCCTCACTTTAATCAGAAAATCCCCTCTTTCTAGTGAATGACAGTGAATTAGGAGATTCATGAATTCTCAAGATGCTGATAATACATGATGATTAAATGGTTAGCCCTATATAGATATTTAAATCATCTTTGCAAGGCTGAAGGAGTACTGTAGCAAAGTGGTCACAGAGAACATAGGAGATTGAGGGTATCTGTGCCACCTTTTGGGAAAGACAAAAATTATAACCACAAGCTGGGCATTGGTGGTGTACACCTTTAATCCCAGCACTCAGGAGGCAGAGGCAGGTGGATCTCTGTGAGTTCCAGGCCAGTCTAATCTACAGAGCTAGTTCCAGGATAGGCTCAAAAGCTACACAGAGGAACTCTGTCTTGAAAAACAAACAAACAAAATTATAACCACAGACTAACACCAGTTGCATTTACTGCAATAGGTCTATACAAAAATAGAAACAAAAACATATATTGTTGGGGCACAGTTTCAAGGAGTTCTGTAACTCATGAATGATCTATTAGCTATAGGTAGATTCTGGAAGAGGCCTACCTATTGGCAAACTCACAAGATTTCAATGACTAATAGCAAGCATGGTCGTACAAAGGACCCTGGTTAAACTAGGTGGGTCACAAGTCACTGAAAGGGTTGCTAATCTGGAAAGGAACTTCTAGGGAGAAGAAAAGGGTTCATACGGATGGAGGGGAGATAAAAGGGGATAAGGATGAGTAACCACAATGCTTGTATTAAATTGTTAAAGAATAAGCTTAACATTTTTAAAAATGATTTTCTAAATGTATTCATGGAGGATACAGAGTATTTAAAAAGTGCTGATACCTGGTATGTATGGGGCAATGCGACTTTTACCAATTAAAGAAGACAACACTAACATCAGTATGTCTTATGCACTCAACTTGGGACTGCTTTCCTCTAAAGAAGACAAAATAATAAAGGCAATTGCATCTGGGCATTGGTGGTGCGCACCTTTAGTCCCAGCACTTGGGAGGCAGAGCCAGGCGGATCTCTGTGAGTTTGAGGCCAGCCTGGTTTACAGAGCAAGTTCCAGGATAGACTCCAAAGCAATACAGAGAAACCCTGTTTCAATAAACCAAAAAAACAAACAAACAAATAAATAAATAAAATAAAGGCAATAATATTATAACACACTAAATGATAGGATCATGAAGGAAAAGGGCAAGTAATTTGAGGAGGGAATGAAGTTGCAGACAGAAACTCAGGTGCTTGAGAATACCTATGAAGAAACTTTCTAAACTGTGTAGGGAGAGTCAGGTCAGGAAGCAGATGAACAGTTTAAAAGATTTGCAGTGTGAAGTGGTCTGTAATGAGCATTGAGGATGGAGCATGGCCAACAAGAGGATGCAGGAGTAGAGATATGTGCTGTTATCAGATCAAGACTGCCCTGCCATGATGCAACAAAACTCTACCTTCTCATCTGCCCATAGAGAGGATACATTTTTTTACTATAACTGGGTGTATCTACCTTGTTCTGTCTGGGCTTATTCCACAGAAGACTTAGAATAGACCATCGCCATCTAACTAGGCTACTGTCTTACATTTGATGATCACATACTGATTATCTTATAACTATGTGGACAGTGGGTGTTTTTAATGATTATCAACTCATATTTTATTGATGTAAAATAATTCTTCGGTACACTGTGAAGAAGTGTGCTCTCATAGTTAATAAAAACCTGATTTGTCAATGGCTAGGCAGGATAAGGTTAGGTGGAAGAACCAGAACTAAGAGAATGCTGGGAAAAAGGGGGAAGAGTCTGTGGAGATGCCATGAGATGCAGAATGAGCAGGATGGGAAGTGCCTAATGAGGTAAATGAGCCTTGGGACAGCTCATGGATTAATAGAAATGGATTAATCTAAGATATAAGAGCTAGCTTTAAAAAAGTCTAAGGTACAGGCCAATTCATAATTAATATTAAGTCCCTGTGTGGTAATTTGGGGATCACCTAGCAGCACAGAAAAATCTCCCTACAAATGGCACTCAACCATCTGGCATCTATATCCACATAAGCCCTACAAAACCTTTGAAAAGATTCTAAACACACAAAAATGTAGCCAAACATGGCTCTGTAGTCTCATGTCTCTCATGCAGGCCATGGTACATAGATGCATCTCCCAGTCATTGTCTGCAGGCTTGAGCTGCCAGTGTGAGCCCTGCCAAAGCAAGTCCTGCCAACATGCCATGAACTAAACCGCATGGCAGGTTTAAGTTTTGCTCATGAAGACACAAAAGATTACAGACATGCAGTAAAGACACATCCAGGTTGGGCGGAAAAGTTTAAATGGGTTACAGTATATTTAAAAATGTACACAGGCTTGGGAGAGAAAAGAGAAATGCTACAGAGTATCATAAAAAAGTAATTTAAAAACAATTAATAAAGGCAGTTTTGTGAGAATGATTGAAATGAGATCACTCATAAAAGCAACGCCGATGTTACAAATCCACACACAACCTTAAAAGTTTCAAGAAGAAACAAAATATGAGAATCTGTTAAGCATATCAAGGGGCAATGTGTAATAACTACTCTTGATCCTGCCAAAAAAAAAAGGACTCACCTACATGCCTGAAAGGAAAACTTATGTCGGGGAAAACTGGGCAAGATGAACTAATAGCTGCTTAACTGAACAGCCAAGCTAACTCCTTAGTATACTGAAGGGGAAAGTGAAGGAGCCAATGCAGATTGCAACACAGTACTTCCAAGACATACTGGGAAGTTGTTTTTCACAGGGCAGCTCATAAGCCTGGTAGTGGGTCAAACTGGCCCTGGGAAACTGTGACCCACAAGGAAACACTAGCATTACTGCTCTCACAGAAGCAGATGAATAAATTTACAGCATCATAAATAAAAGTACCATTTGTCACATAATAGGCAGTGTTGACTTTAAGGCAGTTTTGCAAATGTTTCTCATTGCTTTACAACTGTTTTCAAATAAATTGCTCGAGACTATGTAACAGTACCAATTATGATGAAACAGACGGGTAAGTGAGAAGGGAGCTCATTCTGTGGAAGGAAATACTCTGTAGCCTACAATAATTAAAACAAAGCAAGACACAAACATTTTCTGTAGATTCAGACTCTGATCACATCTCATCGGATAAATCTTGCTGTAAGGGTCTGCCTGTTTGTTCCTGTTTATAGCCCGTGCTTGTTTAATCTTCCCATGAAGCCTTTCTTGTCTCACAAAATGTTTTCTTAAACATATAAAAACTGTTTGACTCTCTCTGTAAACTGATGCGAATAAGATTCTTTCCAAGTCCTCAGAACTATGGTGGAGGAGGAATCTGTAATAATGATCTACAGAAAAGTCATCATTTTATTTACATATTACAACTCCAAGTCCTCAGAAGGCGTTCTCTGATGTTATCCACCCAGATTTTTTTTTTTTAAATGTTTCAAACCCTCACTTGTCTCATTTAACTTATGATACTTTTCAGTAACACACACAGTTTCAAAAGTCATCTGAGAGTCTTTAAATCCACGAGTACTGTTCTGGTTTGGTTTAATATGAAATAGACCTCTTGGGTTGTGGGTTTATACACTTGATCTCCAGCTGGTAGCACAGTTTGGGGAAGTTGAGGAAGATGTAGAAGGAGGAACCCTGGTGGCGGTGCTATAACCCTGGAGGTGCGCTCTGAGGTTGTCTTGCCTGGCCCCATTTCCTGTTCTCTCTCTCTCTCTCTCTGCTTCCTGAGAGCAAGGTGCGTCTCATACTTCCTTTGCCTGTGATGGAGTGCACCCCCTGTAAGGCAACATGAACCCTTTCTCTCCTAAGTTGCATCCTAGAACAGCAACAGAAAAGTAACTAATACAGGTGCTGTGTAGATCTTTTTAAATGTGCATATATATATTAAAATACATATATATCTCTGTGTACTGGAAGATGTCTACAGGAAAGAACACAGAAACTGGAATTAGGAACCACAGACTAAGAACAAGGCATTTGGTTTCTTCACTGTTTCAGGCTCATGGCAGAAAAGGGCATTTTAAAGTGGGATCCAAGGAAAACAAAATAAACAGGCTATTTACAAAAGCCAGTCTCTCCCTCCTCCTAAAATGGCAATGTGGAGGCATTAGAGCTAAGTAGAGCAGGAAGCCATTATCAATCTTGGGCTTGTAAAGGTCAGACAAGGAATGGAGTTACAAGAGCCTGGTGAGCTAAAACTAGGCTAGACAGGCCACCTGACAGGGGCTAGTATCAGAAAGCAAGCCAGGCTGCTGTGCAGAAAGCAGGGAATGGTGGGAGAAAGTGACACAGTGAAACTCTGCTCTCTCTTCATTACCTAAACCAGCAGGAAGCCCTAGAGGGCAAAGGAATCTGGGGCTTGAAGTCCTTGGGAGTCAGCCCTCAAGACATGTAACAAAGCAATAAGGAAGAGACTTACTGGGGAAGGAAGAAACAGAAAACACAACAGATGGGCCTATAGAAATGACTGTCAACTAAGCTCTGGACAACTTAATCATGAAGGCACTTCTCACTTCCAAATCTTATCATTTCATTACTACTCTGTGCTTTATCCAGATGGAACAACATATAAGAGCAAATAACCAGACTGACAGACAGTCAGACAGATAGACACATACTTGCTGAAATTAAACAGAAGTCTCTCAAATACCAAAACAGGTCCTGTGCTGCTCAAAATGGTGAGAGGTTGGCCAGCAAAAAGGCAAAAGATGGCTCCAGAGACAGCGGTACCCAGGAAACTCTCCAACACACCCTAAAAGAAAGAACATGCAGTTGGTAAGGTAAAACAAAGCCAAACACAATTCTTTTCTTCTTAATGGTGATGTCAGCTGAAAAATAAAGATGTGTGTATATAAGAAGCTCCCTCGCAAACAAAACAAGAACAAAGGTTTATCCAGTATGAAATGCCACCACAGTCCTTTTCACATACCTAAAATTAATCTTCCCTAGGTTGATTATACTACAAAACTGTAATAACTGAGACAACTGGCATATAGGAGGCAATGGCATTGCTGACTGTTACTTAAAAATTTATGGAAAGCTTGGTCAATAAAAATCATATTCTGTAAACCCACCAAGCAGAAGAATTGATCCAGGTATTTAAAAAAATCTATTAATTGGACTTTTCACATAGCAGGTACTTTTAAGTAGCTATAATTTTAGCACAAAGTCTTTTCTTTTTCTCTCTAACATAAAAGATTTGAAGAATAGAGGAGGTGAAAATAGTGATGCAGTTTTAAAAATGTTCTCTATTTTTATTTCATACATGTATGCAATGCATTTTAATCATATCCACTCCCAATCACCATAATGAATCACTCCTGGACATCATCTTCCATCTCCACCCCCAACTTAGTATCCCTTCTTTACTTTCTTCATAACACGCCGAGTCCAGTAAGTTGCACACGCATGAGTAAAAGGGCCATCCACCGGAACATGACCTAGTAGAGGTCACATCCCGGAAGAAAACTTACTATTTCCCCCAACCAACCATCAACTGCCAATAGCTCTCTGCTAGCTATTTGCAATTTTTAAGTCTCCAATCGTAAAAACAATAATAATAAAAACAACAACAATTCTCATTACATGCTCATGCATTTTGCAATGCAAACTGAACAAAAAACATCGAATGACTTTCTTGTTAGAGAAAATAAATGTACAGAAACGTAATTAGCTAAAGCTCTTATTCACATCTCCGAACACCAACCCATTGTCTTCCTTTAGCACAATAAGAAGCAATACCTGTGAGAATCACTAACTCACAAAACAACCTTCCTTCATCATGCCATTGAGGGCCAACAGGGTTGATAACAACAAATTAACATGTTTCCTATATTTTTACTGTTGCAGAAGACAGAATGGCATAAATGTATGTATAAAGGGGTATTTCTGTAAACATAAAATAAGAATTAACCAAGGCATAGTTTTAAATTTTCAATTATATTTAATTTATTTAGCTGGGTGTGGGGTGCACAGGTGGTGGTCAGAGGACAAGGTGCAGGAGTTCAGTCTTTCCTTTCACTTTATGAACTTCAGGAACTGAACTTAGGTGATCAGGGTTGGCAGCAAGCTTCTTTACCTACCATCTTGCTGACCATCAAGGATAGTTTTAAAATACAAAATGATGACAGAAATTATCATACATGATGCTATATATCTTAATATTCAAATCTGAATATCCAAAGCTTTTTCAAATGTACAAATGTAGTCTATACCTTTAAAAAAGTACAATAACATACTCAAGGGTAGATTAATTAAAAGAGTAAGGTATTATCTTTATACCTTCATGTGTATAGTAAAACATTAGGGGGATTTTTCAAAGGCCCCTATCCTTAAACAAAACATACAAGCAACTATGGAATCAGACCAGGAGAAATAGCCTTCCTCAGGGAAATGCCCCATAATTGGTTCCCTAGTTATTCCATACAAAGTGGTCGGCCCTGAAATATCATATATACGCAGGTAAAATTATACAGGCTGAGCATATTGTATTCATGCATTTAGGAATATGTGTGTGTATATATCAACAATTAAAGAAAAAGAGGCTATGAATATGACAGAGCAAGTGGGTACATGGGACAGGTTGGATGGATGGAGGAAAGGGAAGAGGGAAAAGGAAGTATTTATATTCTGAGTTAAGATGTGTTTAATTAAATGTATACAGGAGAGCCCTTCTTCTACAAACAGGGCACCTATCACCTACTCTTGGAAAGGTGATTTATGTGCAACAAAACAGACCTCTTAACTCAGTCATCCCTGACTGGGACAGTAGATTCTGGAGCCTTGGATTTGCCCTTCAGACATTAGCCTGCCTGCCTCACTGAACCACCTCTTTCACTGTCCCAAATCTTTTCCAATAGCTTCTCATTCACTTTCTATTTTCAAAGAAAACATCACACAGGAAATTATCATGGCAAACTATTACAAATCAGTTTACAGAAAATACATTAAGTTCTATTCCTGGCTGGGCATGGTGGTACACCTTTAATCATAACACTAGGGTCAAGGCAGATGGATCTCTGTGAGTTCAAGGTTGACTTGGTCTACAATGCAAATTCCAGGCCAGGCTGCTTAATGAGACCACCTCACCCAACATAAAGAAAATTAGTCCTATCCCTAACCACTATCTGGATCCCATGGCTATTGACAAGCCTTGTGTATCGTTTCAGAGACAGCAACACTGCCCTTGGAGCAACATTAGCAATGGAAAATGCCTCTTCTTCCAATGTTGGGATCAGACTCAGAAGACAGATGCTAATCCTTCAAAACAGCACTGAAGGAATTGGCAGTGGGGTGAGGTGGCCAAACAATAAGAGCTGGCAAGTAATCAGACTGGCTCTTCTCATGACAAGTAAGTCCCAGTCGGCTACAGCACAGGCAGGCCCTGTCCATGGAGAATGCAGGCTCAAACTAGCAGGAGGGGCACATAAAAGACGCCACTTTCACATCTGAGTGCCAATGAGTAGCTTGAAAGGTGACATTCATTATTTATAGCCATCCCAGCTATTTCTTCCTCAGAGAAAACAATTGAAGCAAGAAGCAAAACAACAGAACCAAGATGTGCTTAGACAGACAAGATGGAAAGGGATCCTCTAGTACTCTCAAATAGTATTGTCTTAATTTCCTGACTGTTGACATATTGACATTCAGATGAGCTAAAAGATGCACTGTGGATAAGACCTCTTAGATATGTATGTCCGTCTAGCCACAACACACATTACTCTTTGTGAGTACTAAATCGGTGACTTAATCTTGGGTTTTCCTAGAAATGGAAATTCTCAGTTTCTGTGCATAAGCAAGAGATTTTTATAATTTTATCTGGAAGTTTTTTCATAGCTCACCTGAATGCTAAGTATTTAAATGCTTCATTTGGCCATATTACCCACTTGTATGGTGGTATGTGTTGTTTATAAGACAGTCTAAGTACATGTCACAGGCAAAGAACAGTCCATCATCCTCCACCATCATACAGAGAAATCCCCACATCCTACCCTTAGCTTAGGATCAAAAGACATCTCAGACTGGGTGTAAAATCAGGAAGGAGAAACTTGAGATTTAGGATACGCGGCTTGGCTTGGCATAGCCATTAATCTCTGTAAGGGCAGGAACAAGGTCTTCCTGCATCTCCTGTTTCTCCTCCCATGGTGCTGTCCACCCTCCCTGTACCACATGCTCCGTGAGTCCTCAAAAAGCACTGTAGGAACCAAAGACATGCCTGGATGACATCCTAGGTCTCCTTATCAAAGGTCAAAAGCCCTTGCTGTTCATTCAGTAAAGATAGCAACCAACTTCTTCCAGAAGCCCACTATGATTTATGGCAGCTGTGTGATGGTTCAAAGGCAGATTATTTTTATTTTGGTACTCAATCCTGTCGTAAATGCTAGTTTTCCATCCTGTGGCAAACAATCCTGAAGCTGAAACAGGTGATTCATTATACACACTGCGTTGGAAACTTGCTGAAACTGAGAGATGCTTCCAATGTTTCTGAGAAAACTATTTTCACCACAGTTTGACATGTTCCTCTTCACAACACATTTTTTTTTAAATAATTTCAGGCAATGAATAGCTTTAACTGTAACTAGAGTTTAATGCATCTTACAAAATTCTTATAAACATCTTTTGTGATTAATCACATCCAATGTTCACTAATATTTGATTTTCAAAGGAAACTTCATTGATTTGTGTCTTGTCAATAGCCATGGGTCTTAAAGACATTTTTACATCTAACTTCTAGAAGGAACAAATTTTCTAGCACTTCACAAAGATGCAGTTGCCTGGGCTCAGGGTGTGGTGTCCTGACATGTTTGGTTGGTCTTCCACCTTATTCCACTGCTGCCAGAGGATGCCTAGTAGGAAAGAGCAGAAAAAGCAGATAGCCAGCACTCAGGAAATCCAAAGTCTAGACTGTTCTGCCACAAGAGACCTGATGATCTTCAGAATGTCACTTTACTTCTTTCAAGTAATAAAATAAATGGTGACATAGTAGAGAAATGGGCTCTGGCGTCACTCAGTCTCAGGATGACTTATAGGCTGCATCAAATCCCCAGAGTAGTCTCTAATCTGCGTATTAGATCAGACACTATGTGAAGCATGTTTAGCATAGTCTCTGATGGTTGAAAGCTTTTCCCACAATAGCAATTTCTCATACGTAACATGCTTATCTGGATATAAAATAAAGAGGTTGGACCAGGTGACCTCTGTGATCTCAGCCAGTTGGCTCAACACTAGGGAAATCCTTGCAAACACAGCTATGTGAACTTACAGCTCCACCAGTTACCTTAGATCCACACATCTCTTCTATCAAGCCTACGACAACCTCAGTGTATTTACACAGACTAGAGCAGCGACTCTCAACCTTCCTATGGATGTGACCCTTTAATAAATTTTCTCATGTTATGGCGACCCCGAACCACAACATTAATTTTTTGAAGTATCACTGCTTCCTCATAACCATAATTTTGCTATTGTTATGAATAATAAGGACATCTGATATGCCACCCCCAAGGGGACCCACAGGTTGAGAACTGCTGTGTTAAATGAAAAGGACCACAGTAGAACACAAAGTACAGATGAAGTAATAGGTCTCTTCCCTCATACCTTCCATCCCCTTCACCAGGAATATTATTTCTGTTTCCTTCAAAACAGGAAGAAGGAAGAAAAGTGAGGAGTGGCATGAAAAGAGGATGATTATCCTCTGTGATAGGGGGCGAGGTCTCATGAACTCTACATTAAAGTATAGAAGCTTTGGGGGCA